GAGCTTTAAATAAATAAACTAAATAGAAAAAAAAAAGTTAATAAAAAATATTAGTAAAGTTATAAAAAAAATTTAATTAAATTATTATTAGTTAAAAAAACAAGATCTAAAAAAAAGATTAATTTATTAGGTTAATAAGAATTTAAAATAAAAATAAAAAAGAAAGGGTAAAATTTGGGGTATTACAACATCCAATGACACAAACCTTATCCATAGAGCTTCTATTGCAATTGTCATGTCCACTTCTGATCCATCATCCGTGTCAACCTCTTTTTGACCTTCCATGCTTAATTTCCTCCAATATATATGAACAACATCTATAGGTATCTCGTCACCAACTAATATATATCTTCGTAACTTATAAGCGCAAGGAAACTCACATGATTTTCTAAGAGTACACCCACATATTTGAGTGTTGGTTCCCACATTATTAACCCTCAAGAACTCTTCATCAATACGTCTCAAAGAAACTCTTAATATTTATCTACACAGATTCCCATAAAATAGACTTGTGTGTACATGCTCAAACTCATAAAAACTATTTTGAAAAGAAGCTATTATGTTTCCCAATTGTAACTTCAAGTTATTGTTAAAAGCCTCCGAACATTTACACAAGTCACCTATAATATTTTCCAACATATGATTTAATTTCCAATGAGTAGTCTCAACGTTAAAATGAAATAAAACATCAAATAAGGTAGACAAAAAAAATACAAACTAAAACTAATAGAAGTATATACCTATTATTCACGGTATTTCTCAAATGTCACACTCGATTTATCCATGCTCCCATAAATTTATACATGTATGGAATCAATCATGTGTCTTTAATATTATCAATGAATCCAATATAATCAACACAGACTTGCTCAAGTTGTTACAACCGTTGATGATACCCCACCTCATCACCATCCCATAAAAGTTCCATCCATAAAGTGTCTATCGTCTCTTGTAACAACAAATGTCAAACCAGTTGAAATTATACCTATAATTTGAAACAAAGGTTTTCTATACTTTTGTCTTGTATGTATTGTTCATAATCAGCAAAGTAAGAAAAATATTCAACAACTTCACATAATTTGAGAGCACCCCAAGCATATCTCTCACAACATCTTTGTCATCTCTTTTTCTACTCCACTAAATATAATTTACACAATTCATCCTCTTAAACAAATGTTCTATCTCAATTTTAGGACCTCTGATCTCTTTTTGTAATTTAATCTTATGTTTATATATTTGTGTGTTTCGAGGAAAATTCTTTAGATCTCGCTCTTACAATGAAAATAGTATGTGTTTGGGTGGAACATGAGGTTTTGTTAAATCAACAATATGTTGCCTCTCATTTGAACTTAGACGACTAACAAACAATGCCCTTCTAATATATCAGGTAAAATATGGTTGTGAAGTCCATATTTTATATCAATATTCTATCTTGAACCATCTTTAGATGATGTTGATTCTAATTTTAAATGGTCACCTATATTTTTTGTCGCGCTCTGTGTTACATTATCCACTTCCTTGTATTTTTCACCTTTATCACAACCAAAGATCAATTTTTTCTTCTCCATATTTTTTCCATTTTATTATTTGAACGAGAAATGACAATGATCACTTTATGTCTGATTCCAACCTCCTTAATCCACCATACCACTTCTTCTATTGTATCAAATATTTCTACAGTTGAAAATGCTTCTGCACTATCTACCCATATCTGATTTTTATCGAATATCTGTAAGAGGATCTCCATATTGGTGAAAGATGAAAAAGTAAAAAAAAATTAGAAAAAATTGTATACTGGATAACTTATAGGTAAATTATCAGGTGAAAAACATGAAAATTACCGAATACTTATAACCAAGTTATCCAATAAAGATTATAATACTAGATAACTTTTATGTAAGTTATCAGTAAATATATAACATATATGTACCTGAATTCTTTAAGCAAAGTTATTCGATATGCTAATGTAGGTGGTATAAAATACTCAAAAATTGAATAGTTAAATTATTTGATAGACAAATAGGATAAAATTGAAATGTTTTAAAAATTGTAGAGGTGAGAGAATAATAATAGGGGTATGGGGAAAAGTTTCCATAATTACTTTGTTTAAAATTTGTTAATCGGATAAAAAAATCCACTGTGCTTATATTATGACAGATCCATTTACTTTCTTCAATCTATTTACCATGATTTTTGATAACACTTGTGTCTATATTATTGATCTGTTAACCTTTTTCAATTTATTTACCATAATTATTTTATAACACTTTACAAATACATAAAATCAAGGACATAAGCTCAAAAGCTGCCAATTTGACTATATTTTTTTCCTCTTTTTTTGACATACTCAATTATGGTATAAGAAGTGCACGAAAAAGATAAAAGAGCATAAAAAACAATAGAAAAAAAGATTATGAAGGAATTATAAAGGATCGAGCTACTAAAGAGAAAAACTATAGAAAAAATATTTAATTTTAACTTTCAGCCACCATCAATTATGAATCTAAATTTATTGATCGATGTTATTCCCATGATTTTTATGCGACTCATAAAGACTAGATTTGATGATATTAAAATTTCCCTTTAACACCACTTGAATTAATTGGTTTTAAATTATAGGTACTTAACGATCGAAATTTGAATGACATATAAGGACTTTGCAATTTTAGTTATTGATTTTGTTGGTTAATCATTGGTTTTAATTTTAATTTGTTGTAAAATTATATAGTGTACACGTGCCATTTTGGTTTTACAAATGGTGTAAACAATGAATATTTGTGGTACAATGTGTCTCTTTGAGAAATGGACAAAAGGTACAATGTTTCTATTTCAGAAATGACCAAAATATGGTTTTGTAATACACATTCAAACCAAAAAATAGAAAAAATTAAATAAAAATGTTTTTCCCTCGGTTATTGACACGTTGCAAGTGCATGATTGTGCCAAATAGTAAAAGATTATCGAACCACAAGGATCAATGAATTGAGTACTGAACTCCGTTCTATCGATGTATATCTAAAGAGATCAAATATTGAGAATTTGTAAAAGCAACTTAAATAAAAAACACTTATAAAAAAACAGTTTAATTGAAAACCACATAAATCATAAAGGAGACAAACATGACTTAGGGTCATGGTTTTCACTCTGACACATCCATATGATCCAAGTCACTTTTCTATTACGAGAGTTTTGACTTAATTTATAAAAAAATAGATAATATGGACAACACCTGCTTTCGCCAACGTCTACCGATGAGAAATAACTTGTTGTCTCTCACTCGACCAAATTATTTGTCAAGGATTCATTACTTTTGCACAACTATAAAATTGGAAATTTTCTTAAACTCATCCAAGCACTTTCGTTTTATTGATTTTTTTAAATAAAAATCAGCGTTCTGATACCAATACATATCCTTTCAGACTATGATCGATACCTCATAACACTTTACTTTCATACAAAGGTTGGAATACATTAACTCATGTATCAAAATAAATAGCGATAAAAGACTATCGTAATCAACTTGTGATAGATCATACAAATAGTCATGAGATAAACCCCATAACCCCTAGTCTCTAATGGACTACTCAATCATGGTGAGAAAAAACACAATCAAAGCTATATTGATAATCGAATTCATAATAGACAACTGAAATAAATAAGCAATTGAATTGAAAATGAAAAGGAAAACCTGATTGAATAAACCTTGATCTAGTGTTTCTATGGAAACTTGAGTATAAAATGAATACAAAATACGTAGAAACTTTAGAAAATAAAACCTATCTTCCTAAAATTAAAACTAACTCTAAGTTTTATAGAAAAATCTAAACTGAGATGAATATCTCAATGATCAATAGTCATTACATTAGAAAATATCATATTTAAACATGCCAAATTCCAAAAACAGAAGAGATCAGTCTAAAAAAGAAAACAAATCAAGAGTCAGCTGATCCTCATGCTACAACCTGTAGGGTGACCGTAGCAAGACTTTGGTCTTTATATGGCAGAACAAAATGGGAAAACATCTCTACGACTTGTCTGCTACGGGTGACCGTAACAACCAAAAGTCATGTCTTATGATAAGTGTTATATGAAGGTACCATAAGTCATGTCTTACGACACTAACATCAAAATTAACAATAATCATCACTTTCGAACCAAAATTCACATCAGCACTACAAAAATCAAAACTAACAACATTATGACATAGATTATCAACGTTGTTCTTCATCATCTCTTTAAATGACACATCAACGCTATTAGTGCGACATAAATTTTTTTTGAAACGGAGTTTGTGAAAACGATCAAAGGTAAACACGTTAGTTAACATAAAAGACCAACTTATAGCGAAAAAAAATATAAAAAACTGTCTTTTTAAAAAAAAAATAATTTAAGAACCCAGGTACATTTTTATCTATTTTTTTTTATAATCAAAATAAATGACATTAAGAAGAGCACTAGGGTGCTCCAAAACCAAGACCAAACAAAATTCTACTTTGCCTACACTTAATTGATAGATTTAAACTTTTTAATTAATTGTCATTGTTTTTTTTGCCTTCACAAAAATAGTGTGAGTGAGGTTTATAAATATATATTCATGTAAAAACTATATATGATATTTGGTATATAATATGAAAGTTGTTCCACACTATAACATAGTACAAGCTAACTCACCATCAATTTTCATACATATATACTTGTTTTTAAAATATACTTATTATCATTTATTCTAAGAACATATATTGTCATATTATATATCACACAATCACCATGAAATACATAAAATCCATAATATAGTGTCACAAAAAGAATCCACATCCATAATAAATATTGAAGAAAAAGTTAATTAGGACATGATTGGTCACTTAGCCAAATAAGCATAGATAGAATAGTAGTAATTAATAATGCATTAATTTAGCCAAGATAATCACCTGTAACATAGCAAAATCCACACATTAGAAGAAATAAAATGCAAGAATATTCCTATAATTTAGTGTATATATTTACCCAAGATGAAGAATCTTCTTATCAGATGATTGATTGTAGGAAGTTCCATCTTCCATCATGTTTGGATTGAAGAAATTACGAGATGCTAATGCTTGAATTGCATTCAGTTCTTGTCCAGAAACCATGTTTACTTGTGGAAGCCTTTCAACCTCACTTATCTGCATTTGCTTATATATATCATTTCAAGCAAAAAAAAATTAATTAAATTTCTTATATTAATTACTACTACCAAATATAACTTAATGGACAAATTTATATAATTTCTTCCCAGCAAGAGCTTAAAAGCTCTTTTTTTTAGCCTTTAGCTATCAAAGCATTTTTGTATACTAACCTTAGTTCGAAGGCAAAGATTTTCATTTTCCAGCTCAATCTCCTAATCAAATAATACATATAATTAATTAATGATATAATAAGAAATTAAAATAAAATATTTTTTGTAAATTACCCTTTTCTGAAAGTATTCAATTTCAGCCAGTAGCATCTCATGCTGTTACATTTAGAAGAAAACAAAAAATTAACAAATATTAGGAGAAGCCAAAATACTTAATCATCATTTTACTATAATTACTTAACTAACAAGTTAATTAATTAATTAATTAATTAAATCTTACTTTCTTAGACCTAATTCTAGTGATTCCTCTTTCAAGTCTGTTCTCAAGCTGCTTAAGCTCTTTCACAGTCAATGTGCTTAAAGCATCACCCATCAAATGCCTACATTTCAAATTCATTCACAATCAAGTTACGATCACAAGCTTCGATAATAACTTAGTATTATTATCGACTTTACCTGTTAGAATTTTGCAGCATTTGTATCTGTTGTCGCAGTTTTGCAGATTCTTGCTGATAATACTGCAACAATATTATTGGATTTGATTACTTAAACTAAGAAAAAAAATTCTGATTAAAATGAATTAAAGATTAATAATTATTACCTGAGCATTAATTTCAGTGGTAGTTGTGGTATTTGAATGATCTGAACATGCTTTCTTGTACCTATCAATTGTTGACCTAATGCTGCAAACATATATTCAAACAAGAATCAATCCATCAGAAATCAATAATCACTTTTTTCAGAATCAGTGCATGCAAGGAAAATTGATTTTTGAAATAAGTTGTTGAATCTTCAAAGTACAACGAAGAGCTTATTCTGATAATTTCGGCTGAGACTGAGACTGGTCAAAATAGATAAAGCTTAGAGATGAAGTTTGAAAAGATATATAAAAGATTTTCTCTCAACAAGTGAATCAGAAACTTGAATATATCAAACTTTTTCTTGCTTCTCTCTATGCATAAAAGCACAGATTCTCATATTTCTTATCACAAAAATGGAAACACATATCATAGAGTCTGCATGCTTCCATTTTAGTGCAACAGATCTAAACTCACCTTCATCATTAGATCTAATGAAAAATCTTAATTTATATATCTATAATTTATCTTTTAAAAACACGTATCAGGGTAAAACAAATGACCAGAGAATTGTATTTTTTTCGTGGTGGCGGTTAGCTTTGTTATCTAACCGTAAGTTTAAATGTAATTATTATGAATGGTGTAAAAACTCAACCGATTTTTGTGATGAGGAATGAGTCTACGGTAACTTTCTGGCAATGAAAAGAAGCATAGAATGTTAGTATAGTGTAGAGTTTTGAAAAATAAGATAGATAATAATTAAATGTTGAATGTACTCTTTGTTCAGTCTTGTGTAGTACTAGAAATTTTGAACAAAGTGAATGGAAATCCTAGAAAGTCCAATGTTTCACCCTTTTTATGCAAAAATTTGTAAAGGAAAAAGGTAACATATAAAACCCAAACTATAGGACAGTGTGTTTGTAACATAGAATCATCATACTCTATCTGTCTCTTCAACATGAAACAGAATTCAATAGCCGAAAGTGGAAGGCAAAAAGACAAGTTTTGATTGATTTGTACTAACATGAACATATTCTTCTGCATTCTTCTTCTTTCATCCTCTCAGTTTTTGGTTTCAATTCTTCTAGGTCAACTTCATCATTATATCATTATTCTATTTTTTTCTTTCTTTCTATCAATTTTAAATTACATAGATACAAACTTAAAATTTCAATAGATCTACACAGAATGACCAACAATTAATGGTAATTAATTTAATATAATCATCGAGTAACAATTTTATAACTACTGAAAGAGAAAAATAAAAATAAAAAAGCATGCAAAAAGTATATAATTAAAATGAATCATACTTGTTGTTTGAATACTCATAGAGTCTTCCACGGCTGGAGAAGACAATGAGGGCAACTTCAGCATCGCACAAAACAGATAATTCATAAGCTTTTTTCAGAAGCCCGTTTCTTCTCTTGCAGAAAGTCACTTGTCTATTTGTTGTATTTTCAATTCTTTTTATCTCAATCTTTCCTCTCCCCATTTTTTTATCAACCCTATCTCAAAATAAAATAAAATTATTTTCATTAAATTAATTAATAGTATATGCAAAAAAGTAAATAAATTACAAAAAAAATAAAAATTTGTCCTAGAAAACTAGATCTAAGAAAATCCATTCCATTTTATATATTATTAATTAGGTGAAAAAATTTAAGAATTATATATGTATATACATATACATCATGAATAACTAGCTAGGGTAAGATCAAACATAATCTTCAATTTTGTGAATGATGAAAATTATTTTGACTTTGTGAGCAAGATCTAAGAAAATAACCATGATTTGAAGATGATGTGTTTTTGAAGAAAATTAAACAACAAAATTTAGAACTAGAAACCCTCAAAAAGATTTTTTTTTCTTTTAACACAATAATAATATTTAAAAAATATATATATATTTGTTTAGAAATTAAATTAAATCCTTGTTTAAGGTGTACTAATCTCCAATAAAAAACACAAAAATAATAATGATGAAACCTAAATTTTCAAAAAAAAAAATTGATTTAGTTTAGTTTTGGAAAGCATCTCATAGAAGAAAAAAAAAGAAAGTGAAAAATAGGTTAGTGATGGTTCCATAAGAGTTTATAAGAAGAAGAAAAGAACAAATATGAAAGAGAGAGGAAATGTATACAGACCTGGTGATGGTTTGAAGTTTCAGGTTTTGGAAAAATTTGTAATCCCAAAGAAATGAAACTTCACTATATACTTTGTTCTACTTCTATCTCTCCCTATTTATAGCCCTTTCTTTCTTTGTCTCAAACCAATCACAATTATTTATTATAATGCATGAGAGAGAGAAAAATAAAAGATGCTTTGAAAGAAGAAAAAATGGTTTTTTGCTGAAAATAAATGGTGGAAGTAGATGTATGAATGTTTTCCAGTGGTGAAATTGCACCATAAACAGAAACTTTTTCTTTTGAATTTTTACTATGCTTGTCCTTAAGTAATTGCATGGTAAAATCATAGGATTAGTTAATTCTTGCATATAATTATACGGTGCTCATTTAAACCATTTACAGCTATATAGATCTTTTTATACTCAAAGTGTAATGTATACAATGTCTCTTCAAGTTTTACTATATATATTTCTCAATTAATCTTTTACTATATATTTGGTAAAAACATTATATTTCTCAACACAATCAAACATGATTAAGTATTTAGATAAAAATAAGTCACATAACATCAAAGATGATTATGTTTCATTGCTTCTATTTGTTCTTATAGTCATTTTTGTAGCTCTTCTGGTTAGGGACTATTTTTATTATATTTTTGTGATTTTCACACTTTATTCATTTATTATTATATTGATCCTCAAAGGATTAATCACTATAAAATATATATTTTTTATTCTTATATTTTATTTTGAAGAGAGTACTAACTAATGTTAATTGTTAAAAAAAAGTTTTAAAAATTTGATATGGATATTTTTTTTATATGTTCTACACATTAAAATGTTAGGTTATAATATTTGTTTTATAGAAAAGTACCTTTGGAAATATATATGATGCATGAAATAATAAAAATGGCAAAATATTGAATTAATTGGATTGATTTATTTAGTCTGATGGATAGGTAGTGCGAGAATAAAATTAGTGTAGCATAGATGAAGATGTTATATTTGATAAAAATCGACTAATATATGGTGGTGGATGGTTTTATGTTTCAAGGGTAGAGTTAAGTGTAATATTTATGAATGGACCAAATGCCCTACTGATTTTATGTAGGTTTGTAGTATATAGTTGTTGTTGGGATCTTATATTTTAGGTGGTTTTGCTTTGGTTATATTGTATGTTGGATTGAGGTACTCCTAGTATCTGTTTTTAATATGAATATACATTTGTCTATAAAAAAATATGGTAAGACTAGACACAATAGTATTAGAAATGAAAATATTAAAGAGAATGTTGAGATTAAAATCTATAATAGAGAATATGATGGAAAATAGGCTTAGATAATATAAGTATGTAGAAAGAAGATCCGTAGATTCTATGATAAGAAGAGTCGATTAAATGGAAAGAAGTCAAACAACTAAAAAAAACAAGATGAAGATCTAGAAAGATCATAAAAGAGGTGATTAAGAATATCTCAAAATTAATCTATTTGTATATGATCCTTTTTTTTTTGTTTGATAAGCAACACTTTAATTAAGGGCGTACACCAATCCAAAAACAATGATTACACAATTACACCAACAAAAGAAAGAAAAAGCCACACAAGGAGTAAATAACTCCAAAATCATAAAAAAATCAAGAGATCATTTGCACCATTTATAGAAGCTATATTTAGGTCTTGATTTGAATCGAAATTTCAACCAGTTTCAAGAATTTTATTTCACCATCATTGAAATATCTTCAAGATTAGAAATCCGATCATTGAAAATGATCTAATTCCTAATCCACCTCACTCGATTTAGAGAGATAAAACTTGATTGTTGTTGTTTTTGACCGAATAAATTTAATTTGAACCGTCACTTTTATTTGATCCGATCACCTAATTAGTCAAATCCTTTGGATTAAATTAAAATAAATTTAATTTTTATCATTTATTTTTATTTATAAATTATAATTCATACTTCAACTTTCTAAAATAAAAATAAAAATATTTAATTTAATTATTTTCTGCTCTTTAATTATTTTTTAAAACTAAAAGTTATCACTCGAGTAACTCATCATCTCTCCATAAAGAAAAACATTGGGCATTATTGACTTTGTATTTAAAAAAAATAAAAAAAATTCCACCAACGATTTTTGAATTTGGAATGACTAATTTACCCTTGCAGAGAATCTATCACTTTCAGTCTCATAAATATTTGGGCCATTCATATAATGGAGCTACCTAGCCTAATGGAATTTCAAATTTTAACACAAGTTATTAAGCAAATAATGCTTTTACACAAATTCTTGTAACTGATCAAAATGTCTGTGAAATTAAATAATTAATGTGCATGTTCAAACTAGTTAGGGTTTTGGTGATTTCCACGTAATGTACGCACTAAACCAATTACACTGACAAAAATAAAAAGTAAAATGAGCAAGAAATAACAGGGTTAGTAACAATGAAAAACATGATTAGAATTCAATTGACTCATTCTATTTTATCTTGTCTTATTAATGGAGGCATTGAGTGACATAGCAATAAAATACACACTCATTTTATTTGCTACTTACTATGGTTGGCACACATGTTCTTTAATCTCTACAATCGGAGAATTTTTTTTAATTTTATTTTTATAACTTAGCAATATACCAGTAATCTGGGGTAAAACTTAATCATAAGATAAAATGATCAAGAGAATAATAAAGAGAGTGCGAGAATGATAACACGTAAAATGCACCGCGTATTTAGCTCGATTCACACTAACCACTACAAGAAAACATATCATTAGCCACGTGATTTAGTGAGATGATATACATGTGGCAAAAAATGGGGGTTGCGATGTAACACCCTTCTATACCCCAAAATAATAATCGGGTATTTTAATTAGAAAACATAACCACAAGGGTGTCACACACATAAAAACACATAACCTGCTCCGTAACACGGGTTACCACAAAAATAAATTCAAATGCACATATTTATACCTAGAATGTTACACGACATCCAACACACCTGATTTGTACTTGAGATGTTACACGACATTCAACACATCTAATTTGGGTCAAATACTTGTATAATAAGGCATGCAGTACCTGTCCTCGTGTGCTCACCCAAGAATTTACGGTATCATCGCAACGAAATCACTAATGAACATATAACAATAGCATTGTAACTCAAGACATTAAGTCTCATGAATTTCAACTTAATAGCATAATCAAAAGAATATGACAATCAACTCAAAACAACACAAAAAGTTTGTGACTTCGACAACAATAATACAAAAATCAAATCAAGTGTTTATTCCAACCCGATTGTTACATGATCAGAGCAAGTAACCACTAAATAAAAACGATAACTACGAAATTAACTCTAAGGCTATCTTCCACTTACTTCAGCAATGCTACTCCTGAGTATTTGCACGATGCCCATGTAAAGACAACATTAAAACAGAAGGGGTGAGAATATGATTCAATAATAACGGTAAAAGACAATCAGAAGTAGATTAATCTAACAACATCACACATCAAATACAACCACATAGGCATATCAAGTATTGTCATCCACACAACATAACATCCAGAAATCACCAAATGCAACTCAAATGCATTGCATCCAACAACTGACTCAACATGCACGTGGTGCCAACTTATGAACGCACAAGTTCATTTCACTCCATGTTCTTGATGGGTCATCAAGAGGGAGAAGCATACACATTGGGTCAAACACTCACCAAAAGGTCAAAAGCTCATCCAAATAAGTGAAAGAGACACCACATATTCAATTCACCCAAAACCTTAAGGTGATATGTGTATGGGTTCTCTCACTTATAAAGTGCTCAACCTTCACTTTTCTAAGCAACGTGGGACTTAGAACTCACACTTATTTCTCAACAATCTTCCCCTCAAGTGTGAGTTCATCCACTATGCTCCCCCTCAAGCGGAAGATCTTTCATCCACATGTTTGTACCAAATGAATATTGGGAACCTAACACTATTTGTTAATCATGCAGGAAAAATGTCTTGACTCTATGAAAGAGAATATGAGATCTCATTTGTGGAGCATCAAGGCACAACATGCTGACATGTCCTTATTATTTTGATCTTTGTGACTAACAAGGCAGATTGTGTTGCCAATTAGGTTAAATCGTAGTGTTTTCTTTAAGTGGTAAAATTGTGTGAATGGTTACTAATGTTCTATCCGAGAAGTGTCGGAAAGGTATTGTGTTCAATAGTGTAGGTTTATCTTCAAGAAGACATACTCAAGTGCATCAAATTGGGAGTGATCAACCTAAGATGATGAAACATGAGGAGGAGTAAGATAATCATCATGATTGAACAATATTGAGAGTCCAACATCAAAGATAATCATCAAGTCAATCACCTA